TGTTTGTCTTTTTGTTATTGAGGTGTTGGAGTTTCCTATAAATTCTAGAGATAAGTCCCTTGTCAGATATGTTATTACCAAATATTTTTTTCCAATCTGTAGGTTTTCTTTTGACTCTTTTGGAGAAGTCTTTAGAAGCACATAAAAATTTAATTTTTAGAAGGTCCCAATCATCTGGTTTCTCTTCTGCTATTTGTGCATTTGAGTTATGCTTGATAATCTATTTATGCCATATATTAGGACCCCTAAATTTGCCCCTAGATTTTCCTTGAGGAACTGTATAGTTTTAGGTTTCATATTTAAGTCAAATCACAGATATTTTCAAGTTAGAAATACCTCTTGCTTACAAGAATAAAAGGAAAAACCACATTCAAAATAATAACAATAAACAACTCTCAGTTAAAAAATTTCCAAGATACAGATAAATATTTAACATTCACAGAACTCACTCCAGGAATATCTTCTTAAAAACTACATCTGAAGTTTGTAATGTTAATTTATCTGATATAACAGTTATTGGATGTTTACTAATGCGTTTAACCTTCAAAACAAGGCTTCTGTAGAAGTTAAACAAAAAATTGTGTGGTGGTGGTGTCTGAACTCCTTTTGCTGTGGGTTGAAAATCCATACTCTGCTCAGTGTGACTCCTTGTAGCCAATAAACAAGACACTGAGGTGGGAGAACAGAAAGGCACTCTTATTTCTTAGGCCAAGGTAGAGAACAGCTTGGGTTAGTGTCTGCCTCTAAGACTGCTCCAAGGAAGGCTCCTTCAGATTTCTGTTACATATGGTTTACAAAACAGGAAGTCAGACAAAATCATGGATATAGATACGGATATACATTCCACGCAAGTACAATTATGGCTACATACTTCTTGATACATCGCAGGTATAAAAAAAATTGCAGCTAAACTCCACCTAGAGGTGGAGATGTTAATATTCATGAGACAATTATTGACCTAAAGGTCACACCTGGCATACTAAAATCGACTCAGGCTGGTTTTGGCTAGCTTGAGGAGGTCAGAGAAAATAGGATAAGGGGACAGGGGTTGGCTCACTTAGCTGTCCTGCTTATTTTGTAGGGCCAGTATGCTCTGTCTTACTCTTACTTAACTGGGGAGTAGGGGGTGGGGAGAGGAGTATCAAGCCCGACAACCCAAGGCTGATTTCTGTGAGGTAGAGGTTAAACAAACCACCACCCACCAATCATTTTGCCAGTTCTAGCATGAACCCTCTCTTCCATGGCACTCTCATCTCTACTGGGTTCAATAATTCATCGCAATGGCCCCATAGAACTGACAAACAGTACTCATGATTGTGGGGTTTATTAGGGATGTAACAGATTATAATTCAGGATGAGAAACAAATCAGGATACAGTTCTTCAATCAAAATGACTTCTTCTCAGCCATGCCACACACTTCTGTCTGGCCATGGCTTCTGCCCTGCTCCGGCAAGTGTTACAAAGCACTTTTAGCATTGCTGGGAGATACCCAAAGAGGTACCTGACTTGGCCAGCAAGCTCCTGCCTAAGGGCACTCAGCTTTCTGCCTCAGTGGGCTGGGAATCCCACCACTGTGTCTTATGCCAGTCTCTAGGTTCTGTTGGTTCTGCTGTCCCTGCTGCCGCCATTTCTCTACCACTGCTTCTCGTCATCTCTCGCCATCTTCATTGTCTCTTGCCTGTCTCATCGGTGCCTCTGTCTCCCGGGTTGAGAGGTTCAGTGTAGTGATGTGTGGTCCAAAGGATGCACTCCACTCCTGACTCTTCTTTCTCGATGATCTCCCTTTCTGTCTCTGAGATGGCTTATTTTAAGCCTATTGCTATTGTTGTTATGTGCCGTCAAGTCAGGCCTGACTCACAGCGACCCCTCCTTTGGTTTCCCAGGCGATATCACTACAGAAGTAGATTACTCTTTCCTTCTGAGGAGTGGCTGGTGGGTTTGAACTGCCAGCCTTCTGGTTGGCAGTCAAGTGCCTTAGGCATTATGCTATGGCAAAATGGACCAATCCCCACATTAGAGTTCCATACATCTTATTTCCATGGTCCCACCCCCACAGGGTGCCATGTACCTTATTCACATTATCAACAAACTTTCCAATCCCTTGGTGGGCCACAAGCACTTCACATTTGTATAGTCCCATCCAGTCATCTGGTAGAAGTTACAAAGACCATGACTGGAAGGGCCATATTAAGTAACTCACTGCACTACACTGCCTTAACCATTACAGCATACTACTTTTCAGCTCCAAATACGTTTATTGAGTTCCTACTATGGGTGAAAGGAGTTCTGGTGGTGTAGTGGTTAAGCATTTGGCTACTACCCAAAAGATCAGTGGTTCAAACCCACCAGCCACTCCATGGAAGAAAAATGGGGTCGTCTGCTTCTGTAAAGCCTTGAAACCCAATGGTGGTCACTGTGAGTCAGAATCGACTGGATGGCAGTGAATTTCATTTTCATTTCATGCTATGGGTTAAAGAAGCTCTGGTGGTGCAGTGGTTAAAGCACTCAGCTGCTAACCAAAGGTCAGAACTCACTAGCTGCTTCTCGGGAGAAAGACATGGCAGTCAGCTTCTGTAAAGTTTTATAGCTTTGGAAACCCTATGGGGCAGTTCTACCCTAACATATAACTGGGACTATGGGTCACTGTGATTGTGACTCACAGAAGAAGGTTTGGTTTGGTTTGATAACAAGAGTTAATCACAGAGTTAGGCACTGAGGACATACACATAAAAACTGAAAATATTATTTCAATGAAATCAAACCTTTATCAGGACCATGAGAAGGTAAATTTGTTTTGCTTTTTATTTGAATGGATACTATAATTCAGATAAAATATTATTTAATTGAGTAAATGCTTAACATTACACCATGTCAGCAGTATAATAGTAAAACTGTGGAAAATGTTAAGGTAAAAGAAACATTTGTAGATAGTAATTTCTAAATTAAACAAATACATATTTTGCTGTCAATCTGAAATTTAAGTATAAAAGGACAGTTGCTACCACGTTTAGTCTTTTAACGACCTCTGAGCACTACAAGGGTGGCAGAGGACAGGGGAAAGGGAACACCAAGGACCACTGGAAAGTCTTAAGTGGCAGTATCTACCTTTGAGATCTTCTACATGGATGCTTGAGTGTCCTCAAAGTCGTCCTGGAGAACGTGCTCTGCAGAGCCATGACCTACAAAGGGCAAGCCTAGCCCAAGACTTTCAACCTTAACACCTGAGTTGCACCGTGAGGCCTCCTACTGGAATCCAAAGGCTCTTTTCAAGCCAGTAACCTTAAAGGAAAGAGATGTTAAATTTTGGCCAAGCGATCTTGTTCCTGCCGCTTGTGCAGAATGCATTCGTGTCTAGTCTAGCATTCTAGTTCAGGAAATTTTAGAAACTAATATTGGCAGCCCGAGAGCCACTGAACTCTGCAGGAAGACCAATGTCAGCCGGCCTAGTTAAGACAGTTCAAATGGTGAAACCTCTTTCGGAGCCTTCCCCCACACGGGTTAACAGGCAGAATTAAATAGGGAAGTTGTGATTTTGCTTGAGGAGAGTGTTGTCTCCAAAAAGCAGGCTCTGGAGTTAGATAGCTACCATGTTGAGTGTCGTATTGAACGAGAAAAATCCAACTGGAGAGCATAGCAAACTCTGGCACTGTGCGACCTCAATTGCTAGAGGTATCTCTTGCTTGACCACTTTGTACTTAAGGATAGTGTTCTTTTTCTGGGCTTTTCTATTTCCAACTATGCTTCTTTAGTTCTTTAGACTTTCATTTCCTGAGAGCGAAAGTGGATGCTGAAACCTCAGTATCCATTCAACGAAGTGCGACTGGGAAACACCTAGCATTCGAACCCTAAATGTTCATATGGGCTGCTATGTAAATGAGGACTAGAAGTGTCCTCTCTCTATTGAAAAGAGCTGGAGAAGGCGGTCCCTCTGCTAGCGTGCCAATTGGGAGAGGAAGCTGCCGGTCATTGGTCACTGGAGTCGAGTATGTGGTGGCGCCCAATAGGAAGACGCTGGCTGGTGGTAGCAAAGAAGTAAAGGCAGTTCCGGGGTGGGGAGCTACATTCCTATACGGGGACCTGGTGCGCTGTGTTTTCGTTCTTTCCTGGAGTTTTTGGTGAGAGAGGAGCATGTCTGGTCGCGGAAAGCAGGGTGGCAAAGTGCGGGCTAAGGCCAAGTCCCGGTCTTCTCGAGCAGGCTTGCAGTTCCCGGTGGGCCGAGTGCACAGGCTGCTGCGCAAAGGGAACTACGCAGAGCGAGTAGGCGCTGGGGCACCAGTGTACCTGGCGGCGGTGTTGGAGTACCTCACGGCGGAAATTCTGGAGTTGGCTGGCAACGCGGCGCGTGACAACAAGAAAACCAGGATAATCCCTCGCCACCTGCAGCTCGCCATCCGCAACGACGAGGAGCTAAACAAGCTGCTGGGGAAAGTGACCATTGCTCAGGGCGGCGTCTTGCCCAACATTCAGGCCGTGTTGCTGCCCAAGAAGACGGAGAGTCAGAAGACGAAGAGCAAGTGACCCCAGCGCTAGAAGGGGACAAAGGAGGGCTTGCTTCCCCAGCAAAGGCTCTTTTCGTAGCCGCCTTCAGTGTCTTTGGATGTGCTGGGTGTTATGAAGAGCTGGCGCGTTCTAGTGGGGAGAGGGGAGGCGAGGAGCTTGCCGGGGTCGGGACCAATAAAGTCGGTGAAAATCATGTTGTCCAGAGAGCTGTGTAGTCGCGGGCGGCCGGGAAACCTTTAGAACAGGTAATGGTGGGTCAGTGTGAGCCACCTGCTGGACTGCTTTGGTTCCCAGTCACCCTTGAGGCGTATGGCTTGATAAAGGAGCCTAGGAGAGACCCGCTGGCCTGGAGGTGGGCACGGTTGGCCTCCCCTTGTTCACTTTTAGGTAAAAGAAGCAGAAACATGCGCATCCGGGGCGGGGGGAGGTGGACTATTTTTATGCTCCCTGACCAGGGCTTTCACTCTTGTGTTTGTGGGTCTTTCAGCGTTCATCTCTAGGGAGGGAACTAAGGGGTCGATTCGGTCTCTGGCAAGAAGTTGTTTCTTCGGCCATGCTCGCTTCCCACTCTTTTCAGGAAGGGGGGAGTGATTTTTTCCGCTTTCCAAGGGTGGTTTTGATGACATGGTATCAATTTAAGAATTTTTTCTTAGCCTAATAGCTGTCGTGTTTTCAGGTTTTGGATTTTAGTTATTTACGTTTGGTTACGTTTCTATAATATGAAGAAACATTAAATAGTAATATGTGTAAAACAGAAGCATGAGTCATGAGGTTGGAAATTCGTTCCCCTGACGTTCATGTTGCATAACAGTGCAACACCTTTAATCAGGAATTACATAGTCTGTGAGATTTTAAAGTGATGTTCTCAAGTTTCTAACTTCAGTATGGTCTTGTTTTCTTCATATCACCCTCCTTTGGAAATGTAATCTGTTTAATTTTGCTTTTGCTCTATAACAAAAAGAATCCCTTGCTTTAAGGGATTATTACTCAACACATAGGTTCATTGAGATCCCATATATTCTACCGCTCGCCTGAAGTAATGACTTCATTCCAACTCTGCCTGTACAGGGGTTTCTTTGCTTACTGGCACGGCATTGGTTTAATATGTGAGGAAAGGTGGGCCAAATGTTTTAAGTACAGGGAGGAATGTATTTCAGATCAGGAATCTACATTTTAAAGTTAGAATGCTAGCAATCCTGTTCTGCCTTTGGCTGGCATCTCCGTTTCATCTGCTCAGCAAGCTTCATCCTTGCCCACAGGGCTGGTAAAAAAAGATTCCAGTTTAGATTTCATGTCTTTGGACTCATCTTGCCTGTGAGTCAGAGCTGAAGTCTTCCTGGAAAGAAAAATGTGGTATATCTGTAGCCCTCCATTGTTACCCTGCCTCAAAATTCAGTCAGCCCCTTAGCATTTGTAGTTTTGAGGATTTTTTTAATCTGAATAATTCATTGTTAGCTGAAAATGCGTACCTCCTACAAAATCAATTCATCCTGTGATCCTCGATGAACAAACATAATTCACGTTGACATTGTTCATTTAAAAGGCCAGCATTTCTTCAAGTGTGAGACCCTGTCGATGAAGATTTAGGACTAATAAATGATGAATAATGAATTCTGGATTTCAGATTTATGAATCCATAGTTTTATTTGCATACACAGGTGCCTTTTCCTGTGGAGAAAAGCTGTTCAGCAGGACAGGCTGTAACTTGGCCAGGAGTTGTTTGATACCTGTTTTTCTTGCAGGGCCAGTCTTGCTATTGTGTCTCTTGAGAACTGGTTTGTTTAGTTTTGTCTACTTGGCATTGTAAGGTTTGTGCCAGCCCTGTGATCGCTGATGACTGCTATACTATATGCAAACTCCTTACAAAGTAATATTAAAAATGTAAAGCATCTTACACCCCTCCCAATTGTTGAAAGGCTGTGTGCAATGGCACATAAGAGTGCCAGCTCTCAGGAATAAGACCTAGGTTCAAATTTCCTCTGGCGCTTATTAGTTGAATAATTTTAAACCTGTAGAATGCGTATAATGACAGCATTTACCTCAGAGGGTTCTGGGGAGGATTCAATGGGATAATATAAATGATGGCACTAAATTTCCCATGTAAAAAACTGTTCAATTAATAGTTCCTAGCTTCTGCAGAGTCAGCTTTGACAAACGTGCCTTATGTACAGCAGAACAAAGTTGCTCGGTCCTGTGGCATCTTCATGATTGAAATTGGATTTAGAGTGACTAACGGTAGTTACGGGAACTACTGAAATAGTAAACATGGCATTCTAGCAGTCCTGTGATTTTTGTGATAATAAACTATAAAAATAAGCCCAGTTTTACTAATTACAGGAAATTCATAATTGAATCTATAACCAAAGAGTCATAAATGGTTATGGCTTGTAAAAGTATATTTGGATTTTTCTCCTGAAGACCAGCTGGTTTGGAGTTAATGGCTTCTTAAGTGTAACTACTCAGATGAGAAATGGAACCTGTTTGTTCCACAGTTTGTTAATAATATGTGTTACTCCTGTGACTAATACCCAGCTGTCAAAAAAAAGTCTTCTGTGGAACTCATTCACTGCCATCGAGTCAGATCTGACTCATAGCGACCCCTCCTTGGGTTTCCGAGGCAGTATTACTACGGAAGTAAATTGCCCAACCTTCCTTCACAGGAGTGACTGGTGGATTTGAACTGCCAGCCTTCTGGTTAGCAGTCAAATGCCTTAGGCACTATGCCACCAGAGCTCCCAAAAGATGATTATAATATTATAAGCTACATGTAAAGCAAGAGAAGTACTAAGGATGTTACAAGAACAGGTATTGGGGGCACCTGTGTCACAGCCTGGTGGGGGGAGTGACACCTGAGATGGATCTAGGAGTAAGATGAGGTGTTCAAGGCAGAGAAGACAGCCTGTGCAGAGGGCTAGGGGTGTGAGGGGAATGGAGGTAGAGGGGAATGTCAAATACGATACCCACAGCTGGATGTGAGTGTGGATCTAGGGGGAAAGGTCAGGCTTAGAGATCAGAATTTGGGAGTCATGATTAAAAATAGCCAGAGTGGATAAAATCATCCGGGAAGAAGGTGTAGAATGACAATAGCCACATCCAAGGGGAGCCACGAGATCTGTAAGATTGAAGTGTGATGGCGGATGGAGAGGATTCCCTAAGGAGATGAGAGGACACGCTGAAGGACATCAAGAGAGTGTCAAGGGGTTTGTCAAAATTTGGATCCCTATACCCTGACAATAGGAGATCTGGTGGCACACTGCCTAAGGCATTTGACTACTGGCCAGAAGGCTGACGGTTCAAATCCACCAGCCACTCCACAGCAGGCGGATGAGACAATCTACTTCCATAAAGATGTACTGCCTTGGAAACCCCAAGGGGGTCTCTCTGAGTTGAAACAGACTCGATGGCAGTGGCAGTAGGTACTCTGACACCTTCTAGTTTCCTTGTACTTTGCCGTGTAACTAGAAAGTTCTTTATTTTCCCAAACGTGGGAAATGCTAATAAGCTGTCTCACTTTACTGATGACCTTGGAACAGCTATGCATTTTTACCCTTTACATTTTTACATTGCACATACAGAAATATGAAGTATATATGGTATAAACTTTTTTTTTTTAGGTCAAGTAGAATAGTGATAAAGAACTCTTTAAAAATGTATCTATTATTCTATTTAGTAAAAAACATTTTTTACATGTAAGTTTTAGTTTTAAACCAGTTGTAGAAACAGTGGTAACTTACGCATAAAACACGGAATTTAGAATCTTTAAATCATGAGAAATTTGATTTCATCTTGACAAACCTTTTTTTTTAATATATATAATCAATTAATACTTAGTTTTCCATGAGAGTAAGGGGAACAGAAATAAATACCTACATATATACATATATAAAGAAAGTAAAGAAAAAAGGAAGCAAGCTTCAGGCAGATACCATCACTGTAAACTTCCTGCAAGGAGAGAAAATTTAAGTGTAGAAAACCATTTTAAGATTACATACACAAGAGAGAAGGACAGGCTTGGACACAAACACACCAGTTCTCAGGGACACAAAGACTGAAGAAGAAGTTTTAGAAATGGAGACCCAAAGCAAAATTTGGCCTAGGTTACTAGCCTAGGGAGACTTGCATACCTCAGTCCCCCATGGGGCAGCTTTTGTCTGACCTATGCCCATCATCTTCCTATAGATTTTTGTCCTGTCAGAGACAACACTCAGACATTAGATAGGTTGACAGGCCATAGAACTGGGTATAGAGGCTAAAAGCAATATTAAAAAGAACACAAATCTGATCAGATAGCCAATAAAAAACCCAAGAAATACTATTCCTAGGGAAACAAAGGAGCTCTGGTAGCATAGTGCCTAAGGCACTTGACTGCTAGCCAGAAGGCTGGCGGTTCAAACCCACCAGCCACTCCTCAGAAGGAAGATGGGGCAATCTACTTCTGTAGTGATACTGCCTTGGAAACCCAAGGAGGGGTCGCTATGAGTCAGATCCGACTCCACGGCATATAACAACAACAACAAGAGAAACAAAAGCTCAACACCAAAGTGCTTCAGAACATAAGAATTCAATATGAACTTACCTCTCTGCCATACACAGGTGGCAAAAGGAACAGGTAGAGTCACAAGGAGGCTCAGATGTAGATACTATTACTGAGTTTAGGGTCCTACTTAAGTTAAGTCAATGTGCACTTCAGCTGAAACTCAATGAACCTGTATTTCTGTCTGTGCCCTACAGCTAAAAACCACCAGAACACCCCTATAGTTAAACACAGTGTGTTAATTGCTTTTTGTAGGAAGGGAGAACACACCATGGGGAAGTGTGTGGTGTTCAGTAAGATGTTGTTATAAAGGAATTACAGAATTTGATTATATATATATGAATTGATTTGGAGACTTTACTTTGGATTGCATGCTGTCAGGAAGTAGGGTAAATTTATGACTGAACATTTTAATAAATCTCACCTATACGGTACAAGGAATAAAGTGAGGCTAAACCTGTAATTGGTAGATATGCTAACGTAT